TATATATTATACCGTTGGATTTTATTGTACATCTCTTGTGTATAGTGTAAAATCATAGATGAATTTACGAGACGCGGGAGCGCAATCAGAAAAAGAGCTGTGGGAACAGATATGGGCGGAGCCGAGGTGCCCGACGGATAATAATAATTTATAAGTAATAATTTTAGCTGTGAGAGAGAGAGAGACGATTCGACGCGAAACACATTATTATTAATTAAAGTAGAAGAAGAAATATGCAGGACATACGCACCCATCCCGAATGAATGAACGATCGAAGCGAATAACACGTTGACGGAAAGTGATGATATTAAAGAGTTCTTGCAATGCCGTGTTTTTCACATTTACGATAAACACTAAAAAATCGTATATCCGTTTAATTGACAAATAAAATTAAAAACTTAATGTGTGTGTGCTCATGGTTTCAAATAGAATATCTTAATAATCCTCGGATAGAGATAACTTAAATGATCAAGAGGCGATATTCTTACGTGAATTCAGATGATCGGGTAAGTTTGAGAAAAGTTCTTGAGAGAGAGAGAGAGAGCTTAGTGTTTATCGTATTCGATATACGTTATTGCAATAACGTTATAAGAATTTATTGGAAGCTAACAAGCCTTTCACACGGTACATGTACATTTTTTCACACTGTCATCATCTAACGTGTAATGTAGAGAGCGTGCTTCTTTTTACAACATTGTCGCAATACGAGAAGCAAATTGGAGGAGATAGAAAAAAAGATCCGGTCGGTTCATAAGTCGGCTATGGTTAGATCGAATATATAGTCGCAAATTGCTTCCATCGACATCGAGATTGATTAATGTGACCATACTCGATCGCGGGCACGCGCGTGCGTAGCGGGAATGAAATTTTCAACGATCGAAATCGCATTCCGCTCGCTTCATCTGTGGATCCTTTTTTTTTTTTTTTTTTTTTCAACGGGTTTGTGTGATGATTCGAATATTGACGTTTCGAATAGTGCCGAGAAGACTTATCCAATAAATGATATGTCGATTTCGATGACGTCTGCTAGTTTATCCGTTCCATCGAGAATACTAACAAGTGTAGAGAACGAGCGAAGCAATTTATTACGAGACACAAAGGGCGAGACTGAGAGAGATGATTGAAAATTGAGCATATGTGTGCGCGTGTATGTGAGAGGAAAAGCGGAAAGGGAGAGAGGGAGACGACGCGATGTTAAATTAGTAACGAGTTTATAAGAGTACGAATAGACACGATAGTGATTTTATTAGCTCGGGAAATTACGCAGCGTTTGATGTAAAGTAAACTTATTCTACTCGTAGACCCCCTAGCCCCCTCCAAAAAAAAAAAAAAAAAAAAAAAAAAAAATACGAATAATGAACGAAACGACACACGCATATGGACGACTTTTCATCGAAACCTTGCGAACTCTATAATTTCGCGATCGCTATTGTTATGCTATTCCTGGATCGCGATGCGAACACATAACGTACGGAAAATCACTTATCGTGATGAGTTATCGAACGAAAGCAAATAGTCGCGTGTCCGACAAATAGGTCAACTAATGAGATAATGCAAATCGCGAGTGTCTGGAATTTACATTTCTTTTGACGTTCCTTCCGTGAACGCGAAGACCTTTCTTTTGTCGTTTTCACTTTCGGTAAACATTCCCCCGAGTTGCGTCGCGATATTAGCGATAAAGCGCAAATGCGGTAGCTACACAAGTGTGTAAGAATAACGCAGGTAACGAAATTTTTCACGAAAGAATTTTTTTTTTTTTAGAGGGAGGAAGCGCAGTAATCGAAAATAGATAATTTAAGCGAATCTTAAGGAAGAAATGAGAATCGTCGATGATGAAGGAAGGCCTACGGCGTCGCCTTGCACGCCCCTCGAAAACGGCGAAGGGCGATCGCTAGATAAATTTATTCGTCAATCGAGAGAAGCGTCGAAGCCATATCGCTTTCGGTGATTTACTAGCGAATGAAGTTAAGCGTTTACGTAGCGGTCTAGTCCATTCTTCTCGCGTGGTTAACGAATATAATGTACATAAAGTAATAAAACACAAATCTAGAGAGAAATCCGGCGATCGCGTCCGCATCGTTAGCGCGCACCGCCGGACCTTTTTATAAGCTGATTTTGTATTTATTGGTTAATTGCGGGGTTTGTAGATGGTCACGCGAATCACACATAATTCTTATCGTCTCTCGGTTCTCGTATGGTTTCCAACGATAAGTGTTAATTTATTGACTGTGAATAGAAATAAACGATGGAAGATACAAACGAGGATCATCTCGTGCTTGCGTTCATTTCATTTCGCGAGAATCACGCGCCGGCAAAACTTCCGATTCCATAATCCGCCTGATTATCCCTCCAAGAGACAAAGGAGCTGTGGCGCCAGTAAACGGTAAGTGCTTCATTAAGATAACAGCTTATATAGCGTAATCTTAGAATCCCAGCCATTCAAAAACGATGCGATGATCGCGAAAATTTTAAAAGCAAACGAAAATATTTGACACTTAATTAAAAATCATTTTCTCGCAAATTATATTTCTTTCTAAATACTTGAAATTATTGATTCATAAAGAAGCAATCATTTTCTTTCTTATTAATAACGATTTATAATTTATTAATAACATTTATATATAACATTTATTAATAACGATTTATTAATAACAGTTTTGTATTTTTAATTAGAGTTTTAAAGGATATAAAGTGAATCGCACGGAACATTGTGACGAATCCGCCTTCTCGCGATTGCGTTATTTCGGGCAAGAGAAAGAGAGAGAGAGATTCACGCAAATGCGGAATAATTAGACGTTTCTTACTCGATTAACGGGCCTCACAGACATTAAGCGTTGCGATGTCATTTCATAAGTACGCCAAACCTATCCTTAACGCGCTGCCGCGCGGGACCATTAGAGCGGGAAGAAGTTCCGTGTGACGGACGACTCGGCGTCCGCTGCTAGTAACTTCGAGCTCGCAAACTTCGCGCTTTGGTTATCTGCCATTACTTGGAGAAAGATCCTCTTATTTAACTATCTTCCTGCTCTCTCGCCGTGGCTCGCGTAATTGCGGAAACTCCGGGAAATGCAGCCATCTCTTGCAGAGCTCGGTTAGTCCAAGTGCAGCGTGACGATCATTATTCCTCTCATCGCTTCTTGCGAAATTAAATTAAATCACAAATGTACATTTTAAATGCGCGTTGGTTCGCAAAGAAAATTCGCTCATTGTCTCTATGTGCAATTAAATATCGTCACGGTGCCGCCTCTAGCTATCGTACTGCTAATTGGAGATAATTAATAAGGATTTCACAATTTTATTATCTCGTACATTAATCGACTATGACAACGTTTCCGTTCAATTTCATGGACAGATTCTCTTTATAATATCGTGTCGGAAATATATTATCGGTGTTTGAATTCGTTTAGTCAAAAGCGTGTGTCGTAAAGAGCGATCGCACGGCAGCTCATTAGATAGATGACCGATCTTTGAAAGAAAGTACGATAAAAAGCGTTTAGTAATGTATGTAAATGCACCCTTCGAGAATCATTCCGAACGTTACGGCATGTACGTGTTCATTCGTAAGCTTGATTTTGTATCCCAGGAGGCAACAGAAACTTTTAGTACGCTAGATTATGGCGGTAATAACTCGACGAGCTTCTTTGCCCACGACTCGCGGTCCACGTGAGCAAATTCTTCATCCCCCTCGGGGGTGAGATCTAATTTAACTTTTAGGGTCGCGCAATCACGACGGTTGCTGGTAATTCAACTTAACTGCGTAAATTCAGTTATATTATATCTGTATTATTTGCTTCGTTACGTCTGATTTTTTTTTTTTTTTTTTTTTACGAAAAAAACCCTTTGTAATATTTTATAACGCGTTCAAAAATTTATTTGTGACGTTTTTATAATAGATGCTCTTGTTATTACATAAATCTGCGATATCTTAGTTATTTGCACGCATAATCGCAATATAAATATGTCAAAGCAGCGCTATAAATTCGTAAGCAATAAAGTGGTTAAGAAGAGATGTTTATCTCGTTACTTTTTATCCCAATTGCATGGAATCGATGCGCGAGATTCATTGCTGTAATTTTAATAACAATTTAAAGCCGCGCGTACCGTTCACTGTATTTCTTACGCGAGATTTATCACACGTAAAGGATACGCCAATCCGCTACGTTCATTGTAGGCGCATTATAAATTGTAATCGACATCTACTCTAACCAGTCCCAGTGTTATCGGACGCGATCGGTTATACTTGGCGCGGAGACTTTTGCGCTTCTTGCACGCCCATAACAACCTTAATTACTGTCCACCCTAATGAATCAACGAAGATATCGCTATTGGCATAGCTGTGCCGGATGAAGCTCC